TCATTTTGATCTCGTCTGGTTCAAATGAATTTAATTAGTACACCGATTCCATCTGAAATACTACATGTGTAAACAGGCATACAAATAAACAATATCGCCGTATGAACCGCCGCTCTTTCAACGCAAATTTTGCAAACATTCACGAAATATAAACCACTTTGATTGAAATATTGAACGAAATAACTCATTGGACACTTAAAACGATCGTATTTTCTACATTAACTTATATTATATTGGTTCGTACCGACTATGAAGTTGATGACGTACAGTATAGTACATATTAGTACCATTTAAATGTAATGTAGATAACATTCTTCCCCATGGTAAGTATGTCTCTAATTTGATATCTTTATTATTATTTCTCCGGTAAGATATTATACGAATCCTCCCCTTCGTTCGCTATGGAATTTTGATTGTATTTTGTTATAAGAAACATTCAGTTCTTTTACGTCCGATGGGTATGGCGATAAAGATAATTGAATGTCGTTCATTTACCTATTACTATATATATATATAGCTCACCCGCCAAAGAATAATTCTTTTCATTTAGAAGATTGAACTTCTGAATTTATGTTAATTAAATACCTAATATACTTTCTAATCGATTCACCCACGAGTGTAGCTAGACGCAATTATTAAAAAATAGATTTAGAGATTACAGCTAAGTGTTCAAACAAAATTTTCAAGTTTTTAATTATGTAAAATGCCATTTTCTGGATTTTGATTTTGATAATATTCCTTTTTCTCGCACTTATAAATACATAAGTTTGACACGCTCTGAATGAAAATATTATCGAACAGATCGAAAACAATAATGTGATCAAAAAAGAATTGTTTTGTCAAAATTTTTGTGAAACGTTAAGCCTCGTGTTGTATCGGACTCTATTTGTACGCTTCAAATATCTGTAATCGTGAAAGATCATTTTTCTTTCTGTCATCACCTTTGTTACAAATTGTGGTAGCCAACCGAAACATCGTCCTGTTTCTATATGATACATTCGATCAAGTATCTGTCATAATTACGTAAGAAAAATATTCGAAGAGTACGTATTTATCTACCAAAAAACCAAATGGCGTACTACCATTATTAACGCACTAAATACACGAGTAGTACCATCCGCAATTTTGGGTCCTGGCTGACCCACTACATATCCCTGTGGTACATGTACTTAATACCTTCATCAAAAGAGAGATAAGTTCAATTCGTATTTTTATTTCAATTGGAAACGCTTTTAAATCGAAAGATTTTTTAATAATCAAAACGAATTAATAATACGTACATTTAAAAAGAACGTGTGGAACTATAGGTACAAAAATTGAGTCCCTTATTTTCTTCTTGAAATGGAACCTTTAGAAAGCTTGCGATGAAAACTAACTGAACTAGTAGTGAAGTTAAATTACGAAACTAATTTGCTCTGTATAACTCTATTAACAGAAAGTAGATTGATCATTTCATTTTAAACCATTTTTCAGGTCTGAAAAGTAGCTCTTTCAGACCTGAAATTGTGTAGGTTGTAAAATAGCTTTTTCACTTCCCTTTGTTTCCTACGTAATGAAAGCAGAAAGCATTTCACCCTAGACTAATTGATTTTTCTTCCGCTTAAAAATGAAATTAAGGGAAGTACTCGCATGATCAAAAGGTATTAAATCAAAAAATGTATACTAAGATGTTTAAAAAATATTGTAATGCGCCATAAGCCAATGGATATTACGCGAAGCTGTCCCATTTCTTGTCATATGGCTTACTATATACATAAATCTAATAATATCGTAAACTAAGGCATTTACAAAATTGTTAAACTGACATAAACAATTCTCCTTAATTTAACCTGCAAGTCAGTTCTCATCTCATCATAGTGTAATTTTGATTTTACGTATTAGGTATTACAAGGCTTGAAAAAAATACTTTTATTATTGTACTATAAGGGTATCTTCTTTTGTTAAATCAAAAATTAAAAACGCCCTTAAAAAATGGACTATTTACATACATTTTTAAACAATTCCATCTGCAATAATTTTCCTCTTTTCCATTATAACGGGATGCTGTCTAGAAAACCATTCTTTTTATGTACATTCATTAATTTTTTGCTCTCATTTAACCGATTAAACAAGAGTTAAATAGTTTTCTTAAGAACGTGATAATTATTTAGTTTCCTTTTAAAAAAACGCTCTGGTTTGTTTTTACTATTGAAAATGTTTCCCTTCGCCGTTAAAGGCCTTCCGTGTCAAAAATAATTAATTTCTAGCAACGGTTTCTTCAGAATTCAAACAAGAAATCATTTCTTTCTACAGAAAGCCCTTTTACTTAAGTATCGTTTGCTATTATCCTTTTTTTAATCAACATCGAGCCATTGTTATTTATTTTAATCAAAACATTACTCTGCATTTTTTTTTCATATTAATGATTTTCATTGTTTGACTCCTGTTTCCTAGCCTCACTGTTGATAAGCAAATTAATCATTCATTAACGATCGCCACCATCCTCCTTTCTAGATAATGAAAACAAAAATACCAATAACACCGTTTGCATATTTGTAGGTTGTCGTTCTAAAACTGTTGAATTAATTTAATATATTATTAGATTTGGTAATAAAATGAAATTAGTTCTGAAACTAATCTATTTGCTAAGGTAGTCCATAATTTTTGTCTAGAATTGTCAACATTTGGTTGATTAAAGTTAATTAATACTCTTACTATCAGACCACCTACTTGCTTGAGCTTCACTTTTAATTACAGACAATTAATTTAACGGACAATTCTACTCTACACGCTAATTTGAGTTCAAGAAAGACTTCGTGTCTTGAATAAACAACAGGACTCTAGTTTACAACTAATGAACTTCTTCAAACACTATCGTTCGACTCGAAATAAAAATGAACAATATTAACCACCAAGACAAAGAGCGGTTACACCTAAATATTTTAAACAGTCCATTACATATTTTATCTATTGCTTGTTACATCTCTGTAGTTCGGAGGGTATCATTAAATGTACAAAATTTGTGTATATTTAATACACACCTGCGCTAGAACCGACAAAATTCACGCAATTTTCCCTATTGTTACTTATAGCGTTTTCCTGAGTCCATAGGATGGCCCATATCTTCCGATTAAACGGTCCGATATCGATGGAAGTGTTATCAAAATTTTCTAGAGATGCTGCGCAATGCGTGGATAATAAAAGCGCCCATTTACGAAATTTCGTTTAAAAGTTATAGCTGTCGAAAGCTTTTGCCTAGTGTTATTTTTGAAATCGAGAATTAAACGTTTACGGTAACATATCTGGCGAACTATTAGAGATAGTGCAAAAATTCTTGCACCAATGGATGGCCCGAATCGTCGCGAACAGGGAAAACTTAATTTCGAAGAAAAATGAAGTATGAAAAGTTTTCAAAATTTTTTAAGTATGATCCATAGTTTAGGATTGAATGGTCATATACCCCTCTATAACAACAATTTCACTCATTTTCAATTTTTAGCTTCACCCCCTGCTCTTCCACGTGTTCGCTCCCATTTAAAGTCGCGTTGGACTATTCTTTCATGTTTTTTCTACTTTTCCAATTCGTGTACAGCAAATTGTAAAATTATTTTTAATAGATATCTGTCTTGTAGGTTAGCAGAACATGAAAAGAGATCAAAAGATAATGCTTTTGACGGGGCACTTCTTATATTCTTGGAAGTAATGTAATATTTTTAAACGATTTTCCGAACAATATATCGCGAAATAATATTTATATTTTCCGAGACAGCAACTAAATTTTGTAGTCATCGAAGCAAAGACAGGGAGGTATACAGTGGTATTAAAATGATGAAATATGTGTACATATTAAATGTACAAAAAATTTTTATTCCTTTTACTTCCAGAAAATTGACCTTAACCGTTTCGACATTTAAATTTTCAATAAACCTCTCTGTTGAGAGGGATTATTTAAAGTACAAAGGTAAAGGATAATGGAAGCCAATAAATTATGGGGATTGGTAATGAGTTCTAGGGTAAATAACAAAAAAAGTACCGCTCTAGAGACGGTCCTGTAAACAAAAGGCTTAAATTAAGATCTAGCTTTGTCGCGTGTTATTGTACGGAAAACGCGTTTAATATTCACGACCTGAGAGTTAGGTATTCGATCGATTTAGGCAATTAGCTGGACATTTTCGAACAGCATCCAGGTTTTTGTTTTCCGTTTTGCCATTCCCTCACGAAATTTCAAAATTCACTTGTATACTCGCGTATCTAAATAAATACAACATTCAACCCGATTATACAGCCTTATACATAAAATAATAAATAAAATATCTAGATTAACTAGGAAGCCTTCAAAAATATGAATAATATGAATATCGTTGATCATGGCTCTATAAGTTAGTTAAATGATAGATATAAGTTATTTAAGCAAATAAATTGGAAAAGCTACTGGGAAATTTGCAATCTATCTCTACCAACGAGAGCATATCACGGCTTTATATGAGATATTTTGATTCCATTTGATTTCCTCTTACAATTAGGTTTTAAGCACATATTTCTCAAAGTTTCCAAATAGCACATTGTTTTCCTTTAGTTACGTAGAAACGTCTTTTAATAATTTGAAGTACGATGGCAAATGAAGTTTTACAATGTATGAAGAAAATTTACTGTTATTTATTGTTACGATTAGTTCTTCTCATGATAAAGCTTGCCAACAAAGTTCCGTCAGTATTTATTATGTAAAATAAAGACATAAGCAGCAGCAACAACACTTTGCGCTTTCTATTAGGGGAACTTCCCGTCAAGTTTCTAATTAAAAACAACGTCACCAATTCAATTTGAAAATATCTAATAATGTCGTTCGCCTATCAACTACAACTAACCTGATCTTTTATAGATTAACTGTACAAACTAGATCAGTAGCATTACTAACAATTTAATTAAATTATTTATTGTTGTTGTTTTTACATTTCCACAATAAATCAAATTTCACATGCCTAATAATATTCTGTAAATAAACTATTAATTTTCTATTTCAGGCCGAGCGCACGCTTTCCCTGATCATAATTCCTATTGGGAACAAACTCTGACCCAACCTTACTTCGACAACTCTTCCAGGAGAGAAATTACTACAACAATTAATCAAACAGCTCAATTACATTGTAGAGTTCGGAATTTAGGGGATCGGGCTGTAAGTATCGCACTTACGAATAAAGAAATAGTTTGCTAATTGCCTGCCTGTGTCAGTACAAACTAATTTATGTAAACTACAGTTAAATTATGGACAGATTGTGGTTGCATCATCAACACAATCAAACGTACGAGTCAATCTATAAAGTAATGATAGCAGCGTTTGTATTTACCCATCACAATATAGAAAACACAAGTGCAAGTAATAATCAAGAATTTACTACCTTTACATATACTGTCTAACTTAGAAAAATTTGTTAACATTAAAAAGATCTTGATGTAGGATTTATAAATTTCAATGCATTTGTAAGCATTATGTTTTGATTTATTTAACAGTTAATTTAAATATAGAATTACTATACAAAAATTCAATCTATCTGATCTCTTAAACGTTACAGTATTTAATATTTTTTGAATACTAAAGTAAGTTGTTAACGTTTTTTATTTACAATAATGATAATATTGAAAAGATGTCAATTTATGATACATAAATCGGCATAATTTATCTTAATGAGTTTAAATTTCAATCGTTTACTTTTTAATTTAATAATTTAATAATTATTTATTC